GGAGCAGTGGAGGGCTGGCTGCCAGTGGCTTGCTGGCTCATGTTTGGGGGCCACTGGGTCAGGAGCAGTGACTGGGCTTTCAGGCTTGGAGCTGGCACAGGCACTATGGCCAGAGTCTACCTCTTTAAGGGCTCCAGGAAGGGCGGGAGGGAGAGACGTGTTCTTGGTTGAGGCTGGAGTGGCCACCAGGGCACTCTGGGAAGGCTGGAGGCCCCCTATTTCAAAATAAGTGTCTACACAGCACGTATTTCGAAATAGCTATTTCGAATTTGGCGTTATTTCTCGTAGAATGAGGTTTACCAAATTCAAAATAAGTGCGCCGCTATTTCGAATTTATTTTGAAATAGTGGTTTGGCTGTGTAGACTAGGAAAGTTAGTTTGAAAAAAGGGCTGTTATTTCAAAATAACTTTGCTGTGTAGAAAAACCGTAAGAGAAAATGCTATGAAGCTCAGAAGGGTAGAAATGTGCACTTAAAATTGCCTTCAACCGTTATTTTTTTTATACTCTGGGCTCAACTTTGCTTACGATTGCACAAGACGAGTTTTCATTTAAGTTATGAGCCACATGCAAAGCCAAGACTTTACATATTATAAGGAATGCTCTCCCATCAATACATACATTTTAACAAAAGACAGGCAGGTGGGAAAGGAAAAAAGGATTCAAATAAAAGTACACACTGTGAACCAGATCCATCAAGTTTCCCAATTTTATTTGGCCACGGAACCCTTTTAAACTCAAAAGAACTTTGTGGAACCCCTAATAGCAGTCTTATATATGGAGCTGAAAAAGTAGACCACAAATAAGTAAGGATAATAATAAAGCAATGCTAAACAAGGTCATGAGATAAACACAAATGAAAATTGTTTTCAATAAAATTCATAAATGCTTAATATTAATTATTTTTTAAATAACAACATGTTGTTGTAATGGAATTTTCTCGCGGAACCCTTATTTTCACTTCACGGAACCCTGGGGTTCGCCGGAACACCATTTGGGAAACACTGAACTAATGAATTATGGTAAATTGTATGATTTAAAGTCTAGCTAGGAGAGCTTCTACAATTATCTGTGGAGCCATGTAGATTCCTTAATCTTGGGCTGGGCCACATAATATTAATATTATTCAATACTTGTATAATGCTATAGAACAGAGATTCCCAAACTTTTTTGGCTGTGGAGCCCCTGTGGGTTCCTGAAAATTTGGTGAAGCCCTTACTAGCTCTTTCTCAATGTCAGCAGCAAGATCTTGAATGTGACGGGCAACAGTATTGTTTGACAGCAGCGCTGCTTCCACTTTTTTTACTGTATTGCCCATCAAGCAGTCATATCACAATATTGTCTGCACAAGGCTTGATGAGTTTTTCTGCAATTGTGTGTGCTTCTCCAGCAAGTCCAATATGGTAGCTCACTTTATAAGATGTTTCTGCTGTGTTTTTGTTGTTTGATGCAGCAATTTTCATTGCTGAGAGTTTACTATTTGAGCTTTCGCTTGAAAAAAAAAAAAGTACGTCTTTGTGTTCAGATTGATTTGTTTCTAAATACCTGCTAAACTATGAAGGCATCAGAGAACTAGCTTCTTGATTTATCAACTTCTATTCTTATTGAAATCAATTCAATTAAAAAGCAATATCCTGGCTCAGTTGCTCTTGAAAAAGAAAGGTAAACTACCTGGTTACATTTATAATCTTTCCCCCTGGTTTTTCAACTTTTGCCTCACTGTTTTCATTCAGTCAGACTTTCCATTAAAGGCTTTCATGTGTAAGTCCACTGTAGGTTTAAATGTAATATCTAAATTCAGTAAGAATTCCGGTTACCCCCAGCATGGGTTAATTCTAATTCCATTGGAACACCTCCAGGCAAGGGGAGCACAGAACTACTGTTGAGTTCTCAGCTCGTACCTATTTAACTGAGCCGAAAGCTGAGGCAATGCACTAACCCAACATTTTATGACTTGTCATAGTTATCAGATGTGACATGGCTGGCCACAATAAATCTGTCTTTTTTTTTTTTTTAACACAATACATTCTTTTGGAGAATTTAGACTGCTCTACATTGAAGTGATAGGACAGAGCATAATAAACAAATTGCAGCAAGCTTGTACTTACAAATTTTGTTCGCTATGCAGAACCTATTTCACATATGTCTCTAATTGTAAAGCCCTGAGTTTTGGATCTGAAATTAAAGTTCCTATGTAAATGTCTCATTTGGGACATTTATATAGGAACTTTAACCAGTGTCGTAAGCATGTAAAAAGGTGTGCTAAGCATGTAACGTAACCGGTGTCGTAAGCATGTAAAAAGAAATAGTTTACTATCTAAATAGGTAATACAGAAAAAAGGTCTATGAAAAGAGAGATTATTATTTTTCCCATCTTCCAGATAGAAAACTGAGGTGCATAAATCCAGTCAGTTGTCCAGGAGTTGCTCACAAAAATGTAATTGGAATTAAAAATGATTTGTCAGATCCTTCTGGAAAATAATTATTGGTCTGTATCTAAAGCATATGAATATTTAGTATTTGAAATTTGAGCTGTGTTGATTGGTTTTGACTGGATACAGAAATTGCATGTTTTGTTTCTGTTTACTGATGGGATGCAAATAACTCTTTGAATCTGGCTTCCAGGGCTAACTTTTGTGTTTATGAATTCAGAATTTGCTTTATATTGTCCAATATTCACATGAGATGCATTGCTTCCACAAACATTTCCATGCCAGAAAACTCTGTGCTAGAATATTGAAAAAAGCTAACACAATATGGGACAAACATGGGAGTGATTATTTAAATATTCACATAAACATCCATCTTCATTTTTTTTTCTTTAGGATTTGTCCAACTCTAGTCCTGGATTGCTGCATTTGGAGGAGGTGGTATTAGAATGAACAGGTATTTAGTCTTATTTATTCAAATGCAGATTTATAGAAAAGAGAATTCTGTCCACACTGATGGCATATTTACGCCTGCTTCTCAGCTGCAGTAAATGAATGTGGCTGCTTTGGCTTTACTGGGGCTAGGCCAGTTTACACTGGCTGAGGTTTTGACCCTTTAATATTAGTTTAAGATTAACAGTGCACCCGTTGCCTTCTGGAGTCAGACACAATTAAAAATAGCACATGCCTACCATTTATATAGCACATAGCAGTATCCATTGTTTGCTTCAAGGCAAACATGCTATAGTAGGTGGAAAGAGTAAACTTGACACAGCAAAGCTGGGTTAGATTCCTTTCGTCCTGAAGGCAGTTGGTTCTAGTTCATTGAGACCTTCTGATTTTTCAGTCATGGAGGAAGAGGAGAATGTATTTCAATAGTTCACACCATACACTCTGCTAAAGAACTGGTACCAAATGTTCTTCGGTGCAGAGGTTCTTGCATAGGAGCAGGTTACAGAGGACCTCTGGACAGCTGTATCCTGTCACAGCATGCCCTCAAGAACAATGAAACATGCACAACCCCAATGCTTAGCAGCACAGAAATACCTCTTAATGAATCAGCGCTAATAATGAATATGGAAACATGGACGTTAATCCCTTCCAAGTATGGAATCCTTGCTGTAGCCTATGAAAGAACTGAGTCAGCAATCCCCCATTATTATTGTGTGTGCACACATGCTGCACACAATACTATATATATGTTAGTATTGATAGTACACTATATATATGTGTGTGTGTGTGTGTGGGTGTGTGTGTGTGTGTGTGTGTGTGTGTGTGTGTATTGTAGTTTCCCTTAATATTTATTTAGAGATTTTTATATAGGCACACACAAATTTGCAGTATCTAATATTGGGTACAATATGAATAGAGCAGCATATGTCTTATTTAAGGCTGGCACTAAAGAAAACTATTTCTGTACTTTGAATTATGGGTTAAGAATAACCTTGATCTCAGCTAAAATTATTTTATAATTTTGGAAAGATAAATATTCAGCTATGGAGGAGGAAGGGATCCTATCATTAACTCGGATGCTATCTTATGAAAAGGTGATTTATGGGTGACAGGCAGGCATGGACAGATGCCGTGAAATCTGGACTGCTATTTCTGCACTATTAGCAACATTACTGATGTACTGGATCTTCATATAGTAAAGGAAACTCACTATTACTATTAATAGTTCAGGGTTTAATTGTGTTTTGTGTGTATTTCCTCTATCCACGCATATAGTTCTTAAGTGTTATAAGATGATTCGGGCTGGAATCTGTTAGGAATCTCAAAAATGTATACAGCTATTGATTTTCATTGATGCATGTAATAACGTAAGAAAACATGTTTACCTGTAGGGAAGAGGTTTTATATATTTAGCATAGAATTTTTAATTAGGCGAACAGTAGGACTCTAGGGGTATGTCTAGACTACATGGCTCTGTCGACAGGTTTACGGGAGCAGACGACAAAGGCTTCCCTTGTCGACCGATCCGAGTGTAGACCACCACGCTGTGCTGGATCAGCTGATTGTTGGCACAGCACGGTGGCCATTTTTATTTTAATGAAGCGAGGATTATTTAAATCCCTGCTTCAGTGACTATGTTGGGTAAACTAGTTTACATGGCTCCGCGAAACATGGCCTGGGTCACGCTGCTTCCTGCGGCTCCTCTTGTCTGCAAACGGCGAACTACAGCCAATGGGAACCATGAATAGCAGCTTTCTCAGACTGGGTCCTCAGACCACTTTGACACACACTGTCTGTATCTTATGCTGGCCAATGATAACTAGCAAAATACTAAAACACATTACTTAACATAAAGCTACATTTTTAGCTACATAGCTACAATGTTTGTCAGAGTTTTGGTGCTATGTAGAGGGGCCAAATGTTACACTGAGTTGGAATTTTTTTCCATTTCTATTCCACTACTTCCAGGATTCCAAACCACCACTTCTGTGAATAGACAGCATGGTGGTTAAAATCAGGGAGACTTATCTGTAATGGAGAACCAAGCAGAAGAGCTAAAACATGGGACAGGAAGAGTATTAGCTTTTTCACACTGCTCTGTCAATGCATTCTACCCCTGATCTGAATGGCTATGTCTAGACTAGGTTGTTGTTGGTTTTTTTTTTTTTAAAAACTTCACCTGTGTCCACGCTGCAATCACATTCTTTTGAAATTAAATTGAAAGAATGCAAGGTTTTGTTTGACACTGGTAAGACCTCAAATTACAAGGAAGAATGCTCTTTTCGAAAGAGCTTTTTCAAAAAAAGGTGTGTGTGGACACAGAGCAGGGACATTTTTCGAAAGGAGCAATCAAAAAAAGCATAGGTGTCCTGGTGGTCATTCTGTGAATAGCAATCAGGGCTTTCTGGATGCTCTTTCGAAAAAGCAGATCACTTTTTCGATCTGGTTTTGAGGTATGGATGCTCTCTTTCGAAAGAAGCTTGCAAACTTAACTCACCGTGTGTAGACGAGATAGACCAATCCAAAACACTTCCCTCAAATTAACTGTTACTCCTCGTGCAATGAAAAAGCAGATCACTCGTGCACTGAGTGATGTACCCTTAGGGGGTTCATTTTTGTGGCCTGCTCATTTATGGACCTCTTCATTGAGATTCTCAACATGGGTATCAGTGCTGACTTAGGTGGTTCTTTATGACGTGTAGGGTAGAGATTGGTTGGTCCCATTCCAGCCTCCAGATGAATCTATTGCACATCAGATGGTAACAACTTTTAGGTACCACTGACTGGAGCCGAATTAGATATGGGCAACTGGCAAGCTCTATGTCACATTGCCAATAGTCTGAACCATGCATCATCTCTGGCTAATATTACCAGTGCATTCCTTGCCTTGGCAGAATCCTACACAATGGAAGTCTAGGATTCATCATAGTTTCATCATTTGAAGCTCATTGTCTCTGTGTGTGTGTGTGTGTGTGTGTGTGTGTGTGTGTGTGAGACACGCAATTTAAATATCCCGTGCTTGATTAGCATATTTGTGACCAGTCACCATTTTAAAAAGCCAGTAGCCTGAATTAACTCGCCGCGTGTAGACGCGATAGTCCAATCCAAAATCCTTCCCTCGAATTAACTGTTACTCCTCATGCAATGAAAAAGCAGATCACTTGTGTAACGATGAGTAACAGTTAATTTGAGGGAAGAGTTTTGGATCGGACTACCGCGTCTGCATGCGGCGAGTTAATTCAGGCTACTGGCTTTTTAAAATGGCGACCGGCTGCGAATATGCTAATCAACTGCGGGATATTTAAATCCCGCGCTTCATTAGCAACTTCGGTATGCTTCATTTGCCTCCCTAGTTTGAACAAGGGGTAAGTGTAGACATACCCAGAGAGAGTTAAGTGGTGTAATGGGATTCCAGCAAGCCACACTGAACAACTTAATTCCTGGGTTAAAAACGGTCTTTCGATAAGTATCTCCACTCTCTCCCAGGCCTCTTGTGTTATTAAAACCCTATTATGTTGTTGTTTCCCTTGGGGGGAAGGGCTGAAGCTTAAGGTATCTCTGGAGAGCTGACAAAGAACTGTATTATCCTGTGATGCTTCTGGCTGTCTCCACTTCTTCTGGAGAAGAACAACATCTCACTCACTCAGCACTTAAATAAAATTGGCATTTGCAAGGAAAACTTGGTCGGGCTCATCTATCTTGTGTTATAATTAAGGAATCCTCAGTCAGGCACACCTTTGTAAGCCTTCTACTCGTGTCAAAACTGTCACAGATATCGGAGGAAACATGCATATCGCCAACGACAATTAATCACCAAATGTCTTTGAAAATGAACAATCCCCGTGAGGCTTTCACCTCAGGCTGTTAGTTCAGCTGCAGAGGAGACAGCGTTTGCGAGTTGCTAGTGTTCTTCTATTTGAAGAGACCCAGTCGTCTTAACCTAGGCAACTATTTATTACAATAATGAGAGTGTTAGATTATAATTAAATAGATTGTCAGTATCTTTAGGGAAGAGGTTTTATCTCTTTATTTGTTCAGTAAAGCACTTGCCATGTACTATAATAATAATTAATAGATAACAGATGTCTTAGAGTATTTGTTTTGTACTTTTCTTTCAGACTTCAGAATCTAGCACTATTTTTGCAACATCTTGGTTGATGTTTATGCAATGAGAATGACTATGAATGATACAAAGGGGAATACGTATTATATCAAATAGGAATGCTAACTAACGTTTATTTGTATAAACATATAACTGCTGGATTTTTTAGCACATGTTTGGGGGGGGGGGGGCGCCAGGTGGGACCTGGGCCTTGTAGGGAGCATCCCTGTCCATCCGCTGCCTCTGATAAGGAGGCAGATGTGCGGGGGAGCCAGCAACTCTGCAGGTCTGGATATGAACAGGGAGCCAGTTTGAAAGCTGCCTTCCCGTGTGTACTTGATCCCGCCTGCCCCGCTCCACTGCCTCTGATACAGAGGCAGCAAGAGGAGGGGGTTGCATGTAGTCGTTAGGATTAAATAATAAGCCCAGGCTTATCAGTTAATCGTTTAAACGACTACATGCTAACATCCCTAATATCAAACATTTGATACACTACGGTGGACTCTCTAACAAATAATGTATGTCACTCTTTGCCATAGAGAGAGATTGAAATAACAGAGACTAGGTATTTTATAACAGAAAACAAGATACCTTTTTCTGTGCAAGAGTGAGTAAGTATGGTATCTTTTGTTTTCTGTTATAAAATACCTGGCTTCTGTTATTTCTTGAGGCAGGCAGCTCAGCAGGGGGGCCTGGGAAGAGCTAATCCCCAGAGCAGCCAGGAGGGGGCACCCTGTCACAATCCTGATTTCTGTAGAGGTACGTCTACACTTGCACCCTAGTTCGAACTAGGGATGCAAATGTAGGTAACCGAAATTGCTAACGGAACTTCGTTAGCAATTTCGGTTACCTACATTTGCATCCCTAGTTCGAATTAGGGTACGTCTACACTTGTACCCTAA